GCTGTTCTGATTCCAGACTTATTCTGCTTAATATTCTATGATAGGTATTTCCCTGTGTTGTGAAAGAAGCAAGCCTAATTTCAGTGCTGTGTAATATTCCATTGTTTAGCTATACCATACAGAATTATAAACTCTTGTTTTGGGGTAATCTGTCCCAGAAGGTACTTCATTTGGGTCCCTTGTGGTGCAACCTTCTCCCTGACAGGCACAAAGTGATACTGGAAGGACCGACGGCTCACAGAAGAGCAACAGAGTATTAGTGTCAAAATTGATCAACGGGTACCCCATGCTGCAGATGGCGGATGGGGCTCACTGGAGAAGCCAACATTCTGGTTACTGGAGAGTTGACCTGCCTGTATTCTTGGTAGAATACCCTGATGGAATGAAATCAGAAAATAGCATCCCACAGGCTACACAGACACTAATAGGGTATGTTTGGTTTAGGTATGTTTTTCTAGAACAGTGATTTTAAACATTTTAAAATTTGCTGCATAAAATTCATTTTTCATTGTAACTCATTACACACATATTCACCTAAAACAAAAGTTTCACTAAGTATTTAATAAAACTCACTTTTTGTATCAGCCAGGAGAAGCTGGTCTGCTGCAGTAGTAACAAACAGCCCCCAAACCTTAGTGGCTCAAGAGCCTTCTTTCCCCCTTAAGCTACACATCTATCATGTAGCAGGAGAGCCCTAGGATTTAGGTTGGTGGAGGCTTTCCCATCAGATCACCGCTGATTTCAGTGCTGGAGGAAAGAGAATATGGTAGGCAAAAGAATTGCTCCCTCCAAAAGACATCTACATCCTAATCCTTGGAAGCTGTGAATATGTTATGTTACATGGCAGAGGGTAATGGTTGTTGCTAATCAACTGACCTTGAAATAGGGAAATTGTTCTGGATTATCCAGATGGCCCCAGTGTAATCTCAAGGGTCTTTAAAAGTGGAAGAGGGGCCGGGTGCGATGGCTCACGCCTGTAATCCTAGCACTCTGGGAGGCCGAGGCGGACGGATAGTTTGAGCTCAGGAGTTCGAGACCAGCCTGAGCAAGAGCGAGACCCCGTCTCTACTAAAAATTAGAAAGAAATTAATCGGACGACTAAAAATATATAGAAAAAATTAGCCGAGCATGGTGGCACATGCCTGTAGTCCCAGCTACTCGGGAGGCTGAGGCAGGAGGATCGCTTGAGCCCAGGAATTTGAGGTTGCTGTGAGCTAGGCTGATGCCACGGCACTCTAGCCTGGGCAAAAGAGTGAGACTCTGTCTCAAAAAAAAAAAGTGGAAGAGGGAGGTGGAAGAGGTCATAGAGATTCAGTGTGATAAGAACTCAACCAGCTCTTGCTGGCTTTGAAAATGGAGGCAGGGCCATGAGCCAAGGAGTGGGGGTGGCCTCTAGAAGCCAGGAAAGGCAGGGAAACAGACGACCCCTAGAGGCTCCAGAAAGGAACATAGCCCTGCTGATACCTCGATTTTAGCCCAGTGAGACCCATTTTGTATTTCAGAACGACAGAACTGTAAGATAGCACATTTGTGTTGTTTCAGGCCACTAAGTTTGTGGCAATTTGCCACAGCAGCCATAGGAAGTAATACGGAGGGCACGTGGAATCAAGCACCAGCACTTAAATGAATCTGCCTGGGAGTGACACGTGGCACTTCTACTCATATTTGATTGGCTAGAACAAGCCATGTGGGCATGCCTAGCTTCATATGATTGGAGGAGTTTGATACTCCCATATGCCGAGCCTGAGGGAGAAACTGAATGTTGGCGAATGTAGTAATATCTGTTATACCCTTGCTACCCGCAGTGCATGCTTATATTTTCTATTCTATTCTATTCCATTTCATTAGAAACCAGAAAATCCTTCTAAGTTGATTTCATTATCAATCAGTGGATTGTGACCCCTAGTTTGGAAAAAACCACTACACGGACCCTCTTTTGCCCATGCCTCATGGACCACAGGACACACCAGGTTTGTGACACACCTAGTCATAGCTGATTGGTGTAGGTGTGGGACACCTGACCAAGGCTGACCAATCACATTCCTCTCCTGGGAATTAGGAATTGGGCCATTCAGCCAGTTAGCAGTGGGAAGCTGATGGAGAGGCAGAATAGAAACAGGGTCGGAGTGAGAGTCACATGCAAGCCAAAAGGACGGAGGAGCAGAAAAGCACTGAGTAAGCAGAGAGCTGGTCCACAGAAACGATGGAGCAGCCGCACAGAGAGCAGTGCAGCTGGAAGGATATGCAGCCCCAGACGGAGAGGTGGAGAGAGAGCGCGACCGCCTAAGAATCGGATGGCTTCCCCGGTGCTGGCTCCAGCGCCCAGGCGTCCTGCCTGCTCGTCCTTCCCGTGAGATTTTTGTCCCCTTATAGTGTCCCCTCCCCCTTTTCTTGAGCTACCCTGGGGGTTGGGAGGTTTCTATTCCTTGTCTCCAGTGAGCCTTAATCAGCTAGAACGCAGCTGCTGTTTCTCTGCTGGGCACCCAGCGGTGGCTCTGAGGACCAGGCTGTGGGACATAGACAGGACGACAGGACAGGGGTGAGCTAAACCCCATCTCCCACAACCTGGAAGTCTGGCTTTGACCACAGTCTTGGGCGTTTGTGTTTGCTCTTCAAAGTGGACGGGCAGAGCCGTCTGTATGGTTCTACACATGTGGGGGTCCTGGTAAACTGGAAACGCCGCCACAGGGGCCTCTTTTCTGATAGTGCTAGGGTCGGGAAGCCAGGGGAGTTGCTTCAGGGAGGGCTTGGCAGTGTGATGGTGGAAAGGACATGGACTCTGGAAACAGGCAGACCACAGTTCGCCTCCATTAGCCTCAGTTTCCTCATCTCTGAAATGGGATTGTTTTCAGGATCAGTGGTGTTCTAGGAAAAATACTTAAAGTTGTGAGTAGGGCATAACATGCTCTCAGGGAGAACGGCAGCTATTGTTGTTTGAGGAAGCCATCAGCAGTCCCGGCTTCCTGAAGGAGGTGGCCCCAGTGTCGATTAATTAAGTTAGTGGCAGGTCATTCTTCACTGCTGGCCGTGCTTCCTGCCCCTCGTCACCCTCACCTCTCCTGTCCTCATTTCCCCTCTGCTGTTATTCCTGATGTTGATAAAAACACTTGCTTTATCAAAACCTGCAGCAGGATTGGATATAAAGCACCCAGTCTCTGGGGGCAGGCAGGCAGAATTGCGTCTGAATCCTGACCAAGCCCCTTGCTTCGTTGTATGTTCCTGAGCAAATTACAGTCTCTCTGAGCTTTGAGTTAATTTTCTATAAAATGGGGTTTATAATACCCATCTCATGGTGCTGTTATGAGGAAGAATTAGCCACTCAACAAATGCTAGTTCTGTCTTCCTTCCCTCCCCTCTTGAATATCGTTCTGGCTTTCCCTGACTCGGTTATTTGTGGCCTCAGGCATTCGTGGCCTTCCTGTCCCTCAGACCCTGGGCTCCTGGGGCTTTTAGAAGCAGCCAGAGTCCCTGTAGCCTGTGCCACTTCTCTAGTCTCCTCTGCAGGTCCAGACCCATCTTGGGGGCTGCTAGTTCAAACCGTGTGATCTGTCTTTTTTTTCACTTTAGCAATTATCACACCCCAGCTGATGGTGGCATCTCACACTCCAAACACTGATAAATATTTATGAGGGGGAGAAAAGCCCAGGGCTTCTAGGGGAGAAGGGGGAGGGACATGCCAGGCTCTTCTTTGCAAGCCATGCTCAGACACACCAGTGGTCCCTGGGGACCCCAGAAGTGGGGAAGGCAGGCCAGGGCTGTGGAGGCAGCACAGAGCCAGCCACCACTCGCCTTCCTGGAGGAGGGGAAAGCGGCTGTGTCTATGGCTCCTGTCTCGGACCTCGCCAGTCTGCCCACTGGGATGCCTGCTAGGCCTCCTGCTCCAGGGGGATTGGGTGGCTGACGTCCTTCTCAGCCTTGCTGGGCCTGCGCCATCTCTGTTTGTGGCTGTTCCTCTCTCTTTCTCCATCCCTCATTCCATCTTTTGTTTTCACATGTCCAGGGCCTGTGTCCCCCTCCTCCCCTCTCTTCTCCCAACACCCCTCATCTCTGGGGCTCTGTCTCTATCTTTCACTTTTCTTCTCTCTCTCCCAATCTGACTGTGTGAGGTTCAGGGGCTGGATGATGGGGGTGGGTGAGGGGTCTCAGGCTCCCAGACCCGGCTGGGTGGAGAGAGCAGGGGAGCTAGGGAAGGCAAGTGAGCACTCCTTTGGAGCAGGAGACTGCATCTCGGCCTGATTTTGTGTCCAGGGCGCTGCTGCGTGAGCACAGGTGTGTCCCCTTCCTTTCCTGGGCCTCAGTTTCTCAGTCAGTCAGGCAGTTGATTCCCTCATGAATTCATTCATTCACCTGTTCAACTAGTATTAATTGAGTGCTTGCTACCTGCCATTCATTAACACATACTTATTGAACAATGATTAAGTGTGCTGTTCCGGGAGCTTGGGATAGACATCAGTGTACAGGTGCCCTCGTGGAGCAACATGTTAGCAGAGAAGAAGTAGAGCCAGAGAAGGATTGGGGGTGGGGGCAGGTTGAAGCCTCAAATGAGGCGGTGGGGCAGGGCGAGCGTGTATCTGGGGGAGAGCGTCCCAGGGAAGGACCTGCCCGAGCAAAGGCCCTGAGATGGGAATCGGCCTGCTGTGCTTGAGGAACCGGGGAGGTGATCTGGAAGGCAGAGGAGGCAAAGGCAGATCCCACAGGCTTCCTGGCACGCCAGGTTTTTCTGTGCTTGAGCTTGGGGAACTTGCACTTGGAAAGACTCCCTTGCCGGCTCCGAGAGGAAGAGGCTGCAAAGGGGCTGTTGCTGGCCCAGGAGAGCCCTCATGGTGGTAATGGTGGCTTAGCGGCGGAGTTGGTAAGCCGGGCACTGTTCCATGCTCAGCGCTCGCGTGGTGCCTGTCAGGCACGCCAGGCCCCTGGGCCAAGGTCCTGTCTCTGGGGGGCCTGCAGGAGCCCCTGGGCGGCATGCGCGAACCCGGCCTTACCTCTCTTTCTCTCCACAGAGTGTTCAAGAAGGCCAGCCCAAATGGAAAGGTGAGTCTGTAACAGCCACACGGCTCCTCCCTGACCCCAGACTCTAATCGTCCTCTCTTGGGACCACAGAGACACCACATGGCATCTCCACTGACATGTACACGTCCCCGTGGGAGGGGGCAGACGCTGCTCCCCATCTGATGGGTGACACAGCTCTTTCCTTAGGGGCCCTGCATCCCAAGGAGGGGGCCTCCCAGGAAACTTTCTGCGATGGGGTACAGGTACAACTCCCCTGGACTTTAGGGTCCCCCAGCCTGCTGTAGGGGGAGACGTGAGTGTGCCAAACAGAGGACGAGCCAATCTGTAAGTGCCAACGGCATGGGGTGAGCCAGTCCCCTGGTGCAAGAGGACCCTGGTATCACCTCATCACCTCATTATCCAGGGCAGCACCCAGGGCCTGTCCCCCTTTCTTTCTTCCCATAGGCCCCAGGCTCCATCCTGCTTCCCTCTCAGTTCAGCACATAGATGCTATTCCAGGCCAGGTCTGGGCCACGCCTGGGGGACTGGGGCAGGGTGTGCTGAGATGAGTCAGGCACAGCCCATGCCGCTCACAGCAGACGGCAGGGGCACACGCAGAAATGGATCATTTCAACATGAAGTGGCAAGGGTGAGATGCCAGGTAGCAGGGGCTGCAGGCCCCAGCCTGGGTGTTCGGTGACAGCTCCTGCCAGGAGGGATGCATTTCCAGGCAAGGCAAGGTGGAAAATGGCATTCTTGGCAGGAGCATAAAATTGCAGGGAATGGAGGGGAGTCCCAAGCAGCTGAGCCTCCGGGTGCCAGGAGGGAGGCAGTGGGAGAGGGCGCTGAGGCTGGGAGGCTGCAGGGCTGGTCTCGAGGAAGCCATGGCTGGGCTTAGGAGCGTGGACCCATGGCCCGGGTTGGCAGACAGTGCCACATGTGCTTCCATACTTCCTGCTGTGCTCACAGCAGACACCACCAGTCACCACCATCCTTTCCTGCCACACCGGACTCTGAGACTTTTAGCACAGGCCCCAGACAGCCCCTACCAGCCGATCAGAGTTAGCTCTTGGAATGAAACTCATTTGTCATCCTTATGACTGGGCACGGAGGAGCCATGAAAGGGTTTTCAGATAGGAGGAGCATGGTTGGATTTGCATTTTAGGATGACCAGTTTGGATAAGGAGAGGGCTCAGAGCCATGAGGCTGCCTGCAGCAGAGCATCAAGGGGCCAGTGTGGTCGTCTGTCCAGGCAGGAGTGGCTGTGGGGTGCGGAGGGATGGTCTTGAGAAACTTTGCGGAGGTAGAGCCATCAGGATTGGGGATTGCTGAGGAGCAGGAAGCATCTAAGGTGGCACTCTCGATTTGGCTTGGAGCCACTGGAATTCTAGTTTGGGGGTTCTTCCCTGCAGGCTGGCTGCTGAGCGGGGGCCAGCTCCCCGGTTCCTCTCTGCCTCAGATAAGTCCTCACGCACACAAAGGATAACTATGGAGGGTAATGCGTTTGTTAAGGCTAGAGTTCACCATTCCACAGTGTATATATACTTTATAATCCTGGGTTGTACACAGTAAATAACATAGGATTTTATATGTTAATTTAAAAAAATAAATTAATTTTTTAAAAAGGAAAGAAACAAGTCCTCACGTAAGTGGATCCCTGCCAGGCTGCATCGGGTGTGGGGAGCAATTGAAGAACACGGTGTCCGTGCTCAGATCTCCCAGAGGGCTCAGCCTGGGGCTCCATCGCCCTCTCTGAGATGCCGGCATTGCCGCTCGGCCAACCCCCTGCTGCGGCTACTGCACCCTCAGGGATGCCTGGCGTGAAGATCTCAGCGTCCTCACTTGTAAAACAAACAATTAAGACTCCTTCCCAGAGGTCTTCGGGAGGAAGAGATGCTTTTAAAATTTTACAGGGGTTTGCTATTCTTAGTATTAGGGCTGCGGTGAGGGTCCAAGTCCAGTTATGATTTTGATAAGGATTAGGAATGGGTCTGGGAGTTTCAGGGGCAGCCCCCAGGGTTTCCTGCGGGGCAGGGGACTGTGTCCTCCAGGCCCTCAGCTGCTAACGTGCCCTGTGCCTCTTCCCCCAGCTCACCGTCTATCTGGGAAAACGGGACTTTGTGGATCACATCGACCTCGTGGACCCTGTGGGTGAGTCCCTGGAGGGCAGTTGGAGGGTGAGGGGAAGGCTGGGCTGGCCAAGCCTCCCAGGAATAGCCCTCAGGTCTTCGGAGGGGCACCTGGTTTGTGCCAGGCCCTGTGCAGAGCCCTGGGGATCCCAGAGAGCTCTGGGGCATTGCCCAGAGTTGACCAGGTGACTCACAGTGAGAAATAGTTTTTTGTTGTGGCATTGCCCTTTCATTGATCTGATTATATCCTCCCTGTGCTTAACTATTGCCCATCAGACCTGCACGCGAGTCCGAGCCTCTGGCCCGGCTAATGGGACATTTATGATCAGGCCTGGCCCTCCTCTTCCGCCAGCCTCCAGAATCTGTTCTCCCAGGCCGCAGAGCCACGCTGTTCCCACTGCTTGCCTTGGTCTAGCCCCGAGTCGTGTAATCAACGACCTTTACTTGTCCCCTGAGACCTGGCTCCAGCTTCCCTCTCCCAGGGAGCCTCCTGTGGCACTGAGTGGCCTCACTGGGACTCCCTTGCAGCTGGTTTTCTGCTGAGCCCCTGGTGCCAGTGCAGGACGTGGCATAGAGGAGATGCCACCATAAAAGGAAGATGCATGATCAGGCTTTGGGGACAGGTTGGCCACTCCCCTGCCCAGTGGCCCTGGCGCCTGCCCAGGCCTGGGGTTGGACTGGGACCCCTCCAGGCACTCACTTGCCGACAAGGCTTCTGAGATTCCTGAGAGGTTGGCTGGGGGCCGCAGGGGTGGGGGTGGCGGTGGGTGAGTGTGGGCAGAGAGCAGGAGGGAGAGAGAGGTTTGGCCAGATATGGACTGGAGATACCAGGCAAGGGGGTGACCCCTGAGCTGGTTTCTGGTCTCCTGGGGTGCTGGGCAGAGAAGCCCGTGTCCGGCTGGACTCTGCTCCCGAGGGCAGGCCTCAGGGCACCGAGGCACATTCCGTGCTGCTCACGAGGGCCAAGCGCCACCTAAGTGCTTTGCACAGGGAGACATTTTACGCACGTGCACATCTGCACGTACGACCATTCAGTCCTCCCAGGAGTCCTGTGAGGTGGGTACTACAGATCACAACCCCTGATCTACACATTCCAAACCCAGAAATCTCTGAAAACCAAAATTGCTTCTAAGTTTGGTGCAGAATTGATTTATTGGCAAGCCTGACCTGAACTGACACGAGGCTGTTTATGCCTTATTTAGCCACTTGTTGAGATACTGGCATTTCCCCGTGGAAGTGTCAATGACTTTAATAGTGGGTGCAGGTCCCACAGAGGAAATCACAGAATATTGGGAACACGTGCCATATTGCCTCTCTACGATTTGAAACTTCTAAATTTCAAAGTATACCTGGGCCTAGAGGTTTCAACCCATATTATTCATTATTCTTACTAACACACGAAGCAACAGAGATGTTAAGTAACCTGCTGATAGTCATCAGCTGGGTCTGTGGGGCCAGCCTGGGGCGGGACCGGGGTGGAATGGTGGAAGTAGGCCATGCCCCCCGGGAGCTGGCCTTCCCATTTCTCTCAGGATGCTTTGAGCTGGACAGAAGGTTGGGTTTGTGTTGGTGCCTGGGCTCGAGGGTTTGGGAGGTCAAGTCGGGAGGGTCTGCTCACTCTTTCCTTCCCACAGATGGTGTGGTGCTGGTGGATCCTGAGTATCTCAAAGAGAGGAGAGGTAGGCTGCGGCCCCACCCCCAGCCTGTCAGGGGCCTCCTCCTCCCCCATGACCTCCAGCCTAGGGTCTCCCTGCCCCTCTCCACGGGGTCCCCTGGAAGCCCCAGCAACACCACAGTCAGTGCCCTGCCCCAGGCCCACTTTGGGAGAATGTTTCCAGTGCCCAAGCACTTTCCCGTCAATATGTCATGATTGGCCAGGCTGGGGATGCCAACAGGGCAGGCAGGAGTCATTCTACAGAAGGAAACGTTGATACAGGGAGGTAAAGGGATTGTCCAAGGTCAGCAGGAAGACAGGAGCAGGGGGCTGAGACAAGACCATGCCTGGGGACATCACTCAGCACCCCCCGATCTCCCTGCTCCTTCCCCAGGCCCCTGACCCCCACCCCAAGCCTGCCAGCCTACTCCAGCCCCCACCACGCCTGTCAGATCATTTCCCATGCCCCACCACACGTGCAGGGAGTGGGGGGATGGGGGATGGGAACTGACCCAGCAGGCAGCCCCAGCTCCTCCCAGGGGCAGGCCACAGGCAGCTTCCAGGTACTCCACACCAGCCCCTCCACGGGGAGACAGCGCAGCCATCTCCAGGGAGCTGTGGACCTCTGGACAGGCCTGTGGCCGGGGCCAGTCCCAGGGCTGCAGCTGGTACTCTGGGGACTTGTTTGCTGCTCTCCAGGCCCCTCCTCAGTGCCCCTGCTCCCCACAGTCTATGTGACACTGACCTGCGCCTTCCGCTATGGCCGGGAGGACCTCGATGTCCTGGGCCTGACCTTTCGCAAGGACCTATTCGTGGCCAACGTGCAGTCCTTCCCGCCGGCCCCCGAGGACAAGAAGCCCCTGACACGGCTCCAGGAGCGCCTCATCAAGAAGCTGGGCGAGCACGCCTACCCTTTCACCTTTGAGGTCAGGGGCTGCCATCCCCAGGGCCCCATTCCAGAAGCGCCACCTCTGGGTGGGCACACGGGGCCAGTGAGGCTCAGCTGCTCCATGTCACCCAGCTCCCTAGTGCACATTGGGACCGGGGGCACTGTCACTTACACTACCTGGCACTGGAGGCGTCAGCCCTGCCTCTGTGCTACTCCCCAGACCCTCATGGTGCGAGAAAGGGGGGCTGAGGAGGCGGCTGCAGAGGAAGGAGCCCTTTCTGGCCCCCGGGTCACTACAAGGTGTCCACTTGCCTGGCCCCAACCCAGCTCACAAATGAGGGATGGCAAGAAATTGATTTCTCTGCCATGCCACCTCTCAAATCCAAGACTCTGAGATTTCAGATTTCAAAATACCATGTCTCTCCTACACTCTGATTCTGTGATTCTGCACAATCCCCTCCCCTTCTGTGCGGGTTAGAGAGCGGAGAGAGGCTATGGAGTCATCTTTTCCATGTAGCTGTGTTAGTTTCCTGTGGCTGCTGTAACACATCGCCACAGACTCGTAGTAAGTACACACACCAGTTAAAACAACACCAATTTATGATCTTGCAGTTCTGGAGATTGGAAGTCCAAAAATGGGTCTCACTGGGCTAAAATCAAGGTGTGGGCAGAGCTGCATTCCTTCTGGGGGTGCTTGGGGGAGTGCGTTTCCTTGCCTTTTCCAGCTTCACGTCCTTGGCTCGTGGCTTTTCACCTGCAAAGCCAGAGGCAGCCGGTTGCGTCTTCCTCACACCCCGTCACTCGGGCTTGGACGCTGCTGCTTCCTGCCTCCGCTTTCAGTGACCCTTGTGGTTATGTCGGGCCACGATAGTCCAGGACACTCTCCCTATCTCAGAGTCCTTAACTGAATCCCATCGGCAAAGTCCCTTTTGTCCTGTGACGTAACACAGTCCCAGAGGGTTAGGATGTGACATCTTTGGGGGACCGTTAGTCTGCCTTCCACTGTAGGCATCACGGAAAGATCGTTTTTAGCCGTTGCTATGAAGACTGGGCTGAGCTAAACCCTTTAACACTGATCTCAGGGGTGAGTGGGGTGGCGCAGGTGGCGGGGGTGCAGGGTGTGGGGAGGGACAGTGGTGGACGTGACAGGTGGCTGATTCTGCCTTTTTTACAGATCCCTCCAAACCTCCCATGCTCTGTGACATTGCAGCCAGGGCCCGAAGACACAGGGAAGGTAGGTCACCCCAAGGGGAGCATCTGTCTGGGTCCAGGACTCTCATGTCCCCAGGTCCCTGCTTTCTCCCTGGAAGGTGCAGACACACAGGACCACCCTCCCTGTCGTGTCCCTGTGTCTATACTGGGCTGATCCCGCCTCAGACAACCAGTGTCTTTCAAGACAGGGCCCCAGACACGAGGTCAGCCTCACTGCCACAGTCAGTGACGGTTCAGAGGCTCCCTGAGTCACTCTCACTGGCTGTGGCATTGGCTGCAACAGGACCAGAATGTTCTGAGGACTTACACCTGGCCTCGCACTACTCCCGGCAACCTTGTATAGAAGTGCAATCATTGCCATTTCACAGACGGGGAAACTGAGGCTTGGAAAGATTTGACACCACTAGCGGCCCAGGCCCCAGATCTCTGAGCCCCATTTCCTCATTGGCAAAGTGGAGACAATAGGATGTGCCTCCTCGTGTTGTTAGCGGGTCGCTTGAGGCTGAAGCGAGCCACCCAGCACAGGTCTGCACGCAGTAGATGCTCCCTGAACAGTCTGCTCAGTGCCTGTTGCTGTTTCTGGGAGGCTGCCTGGGTGAGGACGGCCACCCAGACTGAGGCAGGAGTCCAAAGCATAGAGCTCCCTCAGGGTGGTTTGGGACCTCCCGTGTCATGGGGAGTTGGGGGGCAGCTGGGTCGGCAGGTCAGATGGAGGAGACAGCGCAGAGGGAGGCAGCCCCAGCGCTGGGCTGAGCACAAGGGCTTTGGGGTCAGGCCAGCGGGGTTGGGCTGTGGGACCTTGGTGTTCCTATCTGGTGTCTTCGTCTGTGAAATGAGAGGGTAGGCTGGGGACCTGCCTCTCCACGGCCCTGTGGTCAGAGCCCCCGTCCCCACAGGCCTGCGGTGTGGACTACGAGGTCAAAGCCTTCTGCGCAGAGAACCTGGAGGAGAAGATCCACAAGCGGTGAGCGGGTCACCAGGCTGCGGGGTGCCGGCTGCCTGCTGGGAGAGGGAGAGAGACAGGATGGGTGGAGTCTGCGGAGGAGATAAGTAACAATACCTGGAAGTGTGTGAGGAGGGATGGCACATTCCGGTCTTGGGCGCTCTGAGGAGGGTGCTCTGCAAGGCGGCAGGTCCGGGAGAGCTTCCCGCAGTGGCCCTGGCTGGGGCTTCAGCATCTTCGCTCTTGTGCCTGGTAGCAGCTTCCTCCCTCATCTCCCTGCCTGCAGTCTCACCCCCTCCAGACTGCATGTCTTTTTATTTTGTTTTGGAAAATACCCCAAATTCAGATCGTGAGCAGTGAACAGGATGTTTCCTGGCCATGCCCATCTCCCGGTCTTCCTCCTGGGAGGTGATCAGCAGGAGGTGGGGGTGCCAGTGGAGTCTTCTCAGCAAGGAGGGCAGTGGAGATAGCGAACCCCCCAGGGGAGAGTGAGGAGAGGTCAGCGCATGGCTCAGAGAGGGGAGGCGCAGACCCAAGCAGAGAGCCCAGCTGACAGCCCTGACTTCTCACGCCTGCCCCGCCTGGGGTCAGGCCCTGGCTGGTCCTGCCTCTCTGAGTGGCTGACCTCAGCCCCCAAGTCGGATGCCCTGCGTCCTGAGGCACAGTTCCTAGCTACGGGAGGCTGGCTGAGGGGACAGCAGCCTCTTTAGCAACTGGGCTGAGTTCGCCGCCTGGTGGCTACAGGGTGTGTTGCATGCATTTCCATCTGCAGCCTTGGCAACGTTTGTGTGTCTGTGTGTGTGTGTGTAGGTGTGTAGATGGGACCCTTCTCTCTTGCTTCTCTGTCCCCCACTTCCTTTTAAGACCTGAGACCCAGGGAGAGGCAGGGTGTTGTGGGCTGTGGGAAGGAAGAGGAGGTGACATTGAGAGCCATCATCCTCACTCCACCACCAATGGGCCATTTTAAATCCACACCAAAGAGTTATGAGTAATAATGACATACTAGCTCTCATCTGCCAAGGGCCTGTTAGGTGCCAGGCACTATTCAAAGTACCGGGTATGTATGAACTAATTTAATCCTCACAGCAACACAAAGAGGTAGGTGCTGCTATTGTCACCGTGTCCAGATGAGGGAACCGAGGCGGAGAGAGGTTAATTTCCTCGAGGTCATACAGTGAGTAAGGGGGGAGCTAGGCCTGTAAGCCCGGCCCTCTGGTTTCAGGGGACGGAGGCAGCCTATCTGAGAAACGGGGCTGCCGGCACGCGCAGCATGCCACGGACCCTGCGGCCCCGAGCCCTCAGCCCTTGCCAGGGTTTGCTCCCTGAGCCCCTGTCATCTTCACCGGGCCCATCTCGTCTCTCTGGCCAGCATCCCCCCGAGGCTACATCCCCTCGCTGAGCCCCGACACCTCCCGAGCCCCCATTTCCTCATGTCCCCTCTGCATATTTTCATTACAAGACACCTGACAGGTATTTACTGCATGGCTGGCACTGTCACAGGTGCTAAGAATACAGCCACGAGCAGTTTAGACTAAAAAATTCTCTCCTTAGAGAGCTTACGTACACTATTCCGTGACACAGGGAAGCAGGGAGTGAAAACACAGTCCCTCTTCTACCACCCTCCCGAGTACCAAGACCAGATCCAAAGGAAGTGCAGCCACGGGGAGGTTCGGGGACAGGATGGGGAGGATGGAGTGGGACCAGATGGTGACAAGGCCCCTATCCAACCTCTGCAGTGTGGCTGGATTCCGAGGCAGTGGGGAGGGGACCCATGGCACTCTCTTGAGCAGGAGAGGGTGAAGATCACAAGGAAAGAGGATAAAGGCAGGTGACTCTGGTCATCTTTCACTCCTCCCATCTCTATTAGGAATTCCGTGCGTCTGGTCATCCGGAAGGTGCAGTATGCCCCAGAGAGGCCTGGCCCCCAGCCCACAGCTGAGACCACCAGGCAGTTCCTCATGTCAGACAAGCCCTTGCACCTAGAGGCCTCCCTGGATAAGGAGGTAGGAGGCTCAGACTTGGCAGGGGTGGGGGGCTGCTCTACCAGGGCCTGGACCTCAGATCCCAGCCCTCCTGGCCTGTGGGGTCTCCTCAGGTAGGAGCTTCTACCCCAGCCTGAGGACCACAGGGCTCAGGGAATCTGAGACCTCTCAGGGAATTTGGAGAAGCCTCTTGGGGCCTAAAGGAGTGGCAGAGGGCATGAGCCTGAGGGACACGATTGACTTCAGAAGGGAGCAGCGGACCCTCCCGAAGGGTCCTGGCCATCTCCCCACTGCCCACTGCACCTCCACCAACTGCCTGCCTCAGGCCAAGTGGTAAAAACCAGCCAACTCGGTAGAGGAGGGGACAGAGGCAGCCCGGGAACTCCCGCCATAGCCCTGCCACCCCTGAGCTGTAAGGCAGCAAACCCTGTGGAAGGAAGGGGACTCCTCCTTAAGCTCTGAGTCAAAACCAGCTGGCTGATGCCTTCTGTGAGCTCAGGCTGGCCCCTCCTTAAGGTCTGGGCACCCCCTTATCCCTCTTGGGGCACAGCTGAAGGCAAGTGCCTGGGACAAGATGCAAGTGAGACCCTTGGGTGAGATTCAGAGCTGGTTCCCTCGGGGAGCCGGGCAGCCCTTCCTCACCTTCGCCTGCTTCTTCCGGCCCCTCCTGGGGACAGATTTTAGAGCTGGCAGCGGCTTGAGGCATCACCTAGTCTAGCCACTTCATTGAACAGAGGGAGAAACTAAGGCTTAGATAACCTGCCCAGGTCACACTGCTGTCATCACTGTTACTGTTGTTATCGTCATTGTTACTGGTGGCCAAGCTGGCACTGGAGCTGTTATGTGTCAGAGGTCCCACAGGGCACTGAGGGCTAATACACCTGGTGGCTGTAGTGCCTGCCCCCTTAGCATCAGTGGGAGGTGGATGATGAACTTGGGGCACAGGGCAGAACAGCCAAGGTTTGGGGAAACCCAGGAGATTTGTGTGGGACCTTTCCTCCCTCCCCTTTCCCTAGAACTTTGGCATCCTCCCAGCCAACCCTCTGGTTTCTTATGCCTCCCAGATCTATTACCACGGAGAACCCATCAGCGTCAACGTCCATGTCACCAACAACACCAACAAGACAGTGAAGAAGATCAAGATCTCAGGTAGCCCAGGGAGAGGGTCAGCTTAGGAGGCGGGCCAGAAGGGTTCCTCCCAGGGGTTGGGGATAGCTGAGGATCTGCCCTGGTTAACAGCCTTGTAAATAACTACCGAAGCCCGAGGCCTGCTCTGAGCCAAAGGGTAAGGCTTTCGAGGCTGGTAATGCAGGCGGCTCACGGGCTAGGTAATGAATTTACTGCTTAAGCCACCTCTTCTCTTTGGTTTCCTGGGTTCTGGGCAAAGCTGTCCTCGAAGGGAAAACTTTTGGTTATGGGAGGGAATGGGTGTGTTTGGAGCTATCGTTTGGGTGGAGGGTGGAGTGGTCTCCTGCAGGAGTGCCTCCTGGTGGCCTCCGGCCATTGCTTGGGGCTGGACATCCCAGCCTGGGGAAGCCTGAGTTGCTCTGTGGGGGCTGCGTCCCTGGCTCACAGCGCCCCATCCCCTCTCCCTCCTAGTGCGCCAGCACGCGGACATCTGCCTTTTCAACACAGCTCAGTACAAGTGCCCTGTGGCCATGGAAGAGGCTGAGTAAGTAAGCACAAGCCTGGCCTTGGACATGGGGGGACTGGGTGGGAAAAAGAGCAGTTCTGGGTCCTGTTACAGGCCCACCTGGCAGAAGGCTGGTCTTCAGACTTCTTGCCACTCAGAGTAGATGATCCAGAAGAACCTTTTAGAAACCATCCACCTGAGTTAGCTACAAGAAATACATGCTACAGTCAAGCAAAAGACCCATTAAAACTAGAACAACAAAATAAGAGCTAATAAATGTAAGGGGATTGGGAGTGTGGACAGAAAATAATTACACTGTGCCTGAAACCTAGGTTGAAGGGAGATACTGTGCTCTGAGCTTCCTGGTAGCCAAGGCAAAGGGGGCAAAGCAGTAGGTGCACCACTTTTCTTGCCTGATTAAGGAGTAATCCAGCTCACAGGGGAAAGTGGGTTGTGTGTGGGAGGTTGAGAATAATTATACAAAAAAAATCTAGGTCTGAGGAGAGCTAATATGGTTGAGCATGGATGGAACTTTGTCCCAGGCTTGTTGGCAGCTAAGACAAGAGGAGAGATCTGAAACAAAACATCTTTACTTACCTAAAGGAAGTAGATGCTCCCATTAGAAAACACATACTTTTTTTTTTTTTTTTTTTTTGAGACAGAGTCTCACTGTGTTGCCCGGGCTAGAGTGCTGTGGCGTCAGCCTAGCTCACAGCAACCTTAAACTCCTGGGCTCAGGCAATCCTTCTGCCTCAGCCTCCCAAGTAGCTGGGACTACAGGCATGCGCCACCATGCCCGGCTAATTTTTTCTATATATTTTTAGTTGTCCGATTAATTTCTTTCTATTTTTAGTAGAGACGGGGTCTCGCTCTTGCTCAGGCTGGTTTCGAACTCCTGAGCTCAAACAATCCGCCCGCCTCGGCCTCCCAGAGTGCTAGGATTACAGGTGTGAGCCACCGCGCCCGGCCAACACACACATTTTTTCTCCTGGCCCTGCAAAGAATTTTTGGGGAGCAATTGAATTTTATGTAATTTTATATGCATGTGCATATTTATTTACATATACTTGCAATCAACATTTTTTTGCAACTTAAAAACATTTAAAAAATGTCATTACCTGGTCTCCTATAGGTGAACATGCTATGATCAGATCAAACATTCCCCCATTACTGGGCATGTCTTATATCTACTGCCGATTTAAAAAATAATCAGAGCCATGAGACGTAGATTTCTGGTGCCGGGCAGGCGGCAGGGGCATAAAGTGAAGTGATTTAGAAACAGAGTAACATAAAGTCCCCAGAGTGAAAAACCCCAAGCCCTGCAGATGGTGCCAGCATCTGCCTGACAGATAGCAGCATGGACGGCTGGGAGGCCTTTACATTCCCAGCCTTGTGTAATTCTCAGGAAGCCCTGTGGGGCGGGGGCTGCTGCTGCCCCAGTGTGTAAATGAGGACGCTGACAAGTGCCAAAGCTGGGGTCAAACCCAGGCTGTGTGACTCCAAGGCTTGGCTGCTGGCTGCAGCATGCCAGCTATCACTGAAAAGAGGGGTGGGGGGCAGAGGAAACCCCAAACTGAACAATTGAAATACCCTATACATGATGGATCGATTGTGATAAAGCAAGTACAGGTTTAATTGCAGGACTTAGGTGGGGGGTATATGGGTGTCCAGTAGCTTCATGCATGGCTCGTATGTAACTGTAATTTTTAAAATAAATGTGCTGCTTAGCGCTGCCCTGTTAGACTAGGATAGTTTTTTCCTACAGAACATCCCAGGGTCAGTCCTGCTTGTGTGTAGAGTGTAGACGCACCTCCTTTGGATGGCAGTGGTCTTCCTGCCAGAGCTGGGCCTGCCCAAGTGGTCCCTGCAATTAGGGGACAGGTGGGGAGAGGGAGGCTTGGAGCAAGGCCAGGCTAGATGTCCTACAGGTTGGGGTGAGGGCTGGGGTTGGCTCTGGGGAGGGCCATCTCCACACCTGCTTCCCTTCTTCCCAGCGACACGGTGGCACCCAGCTCCACATTCTGCAAGGTCTACACGCTGACCCCCTTCCTGGCCAACAACCGAGAGAAGCGGGGCCTTGCCCTGGACGGGAAACTCAAGCACGAAGACACGAATCTGGCCTCCAGCACCCTGTGAGGACCCACCCTCCTGGCCCCAGGCTCCTGGTGCCCAGCACCCCAATGGGGCCACACCCTCCTTGGTCCCACCAGTACGAAGACAAGGCTCGGGCTACCCTCCCCCTCAGGCTTGTCCAGGGCCTCAGGAGCGTGGCCTGTCAGGGAGCCTGCCCCCTCTCCGCACACCACACTGCAGGGACACTGGCCCTGGCAGGTGGAGGGGCCCAGGGGATCTCACAGCAGATTTGGGAGCCAGGGCTCCCTGAGGGTTCAGCTCACCTTCCTCCCTCCCACCAGGCCCAGGGTGGGGCACACACAGCAGAGGGACGGGTGGCCACTGCCGCTGCCCCTGCATGTCCCTCCCCGCCAGCGAGCCCTGAACCAGTCCCCTGTGTCTGCAGGCTGAGGGAAGGAGCCAACCGCGAGATCCTGGGCATCATCGTGTCCTACAAAGTGAAGGTGAAGCTGGTGGTGTCTCGAGGCGGGTGAGTGTCTAGCCCAGCCCAAGAGCCTTGAGTGCAGAGTGGAGTGACTCCAAGGCCCCGACAGCTGACCCCACTCTGCGTGTTTACTGGCCCTCCTAGCTGCAGCCACCTTTGGGGGAGGAGCTTCCTGCCCCCACTCTTCGTCCTTCCTGCTCCTCTCTCTCCTCCTCCTCCTTGTCCTATCCGGGTCTGAGCCTCGCACAGAGGGTTGGGGGACGGTGGGTTGGGTACGGCGTCCTCAGAGTCTATGCTGTGGGGTCCATGGGATGCCATGCCCCTCATCACACCTTGAGGCACAGCACCCACCCCTACCCAGGCTGATCTTGGTGGAAACAGCTAAAGGGGCTCCCAGAGCTGGACTGGGGATTTGTTAGGTGGTCTGACTCTCCCATTTCACAGATGGCGCAACAGAGGTCCAGACACTCCCCAGACATTCCCTGAATCTCCTCCCCTAACCTCAGATCATGGGCTGAGTTCTGGGGCCACAGAACTGGACCAGACATGTCCCCTGCCCTGGAGTGTAGCTTGGTGGAGGCTCAGGAAAACCTCCACGTTTCCCCATATATTGGGCCTACCTGCTATAAACCTAGAAGTTCTACTTTATCAGAGGGATTTTTTTCTAATTTAGTTTACAAATTTCTGTAAAAAGATTTAAAAACTCAATAATGTTGACACTGAGCCCCCTTTATTATTAGAATAATGCCTCTTTGCAGGTGGCAGTAATACTGACCACAGTATAGGACATCTCAAAATTGCAAATTGCAAATCCTGTGTCCTGTGACCTTGCAGGACCCACAGTCTTCCCAGTTCCTGGGAACCTCGAGTGTTTCCATTAGAGAGCCCGGTCTCCCCCATGGGCCTGCCCTGGGGCAGGCAGCGCTGGGTTAATTTTTACACTCCCTTTCCAGATGAGGATCCTGGCGCTCAGGGGGTTGCTGAGCTGGGCCTGCATCTCGGTAGCCCTGGGCAGGGCTAATGGCATTTCAGTGTATCCCTGAATAGCAGGCAGAGCTGCACAGGGGCGGGTAGAGTGTGTCCCGTGGGTCTTTTCTATCCCAGGGGCAGCAGAAGTGGTGAATGAATGTGCTTTCTGTTTTCTTCCTCTCTGAACTCTCTCCTGACCACTTCTCCTGCCTCCTCTGACCCACCCAGCCTGTTGGGAGATCTTGCATCCAGGTAAAGTCCCTCCCTTCGACCTGGCTGACTCACCTTCCTAGAGGGCCCAGAGACCATTGGCCTGGTTGACCAGAATCACAGGGCACTGGGTTGGAAGGAGTCTTAGCGGTCACTTCAGATTGCCAGGCTCAGGTGTGTGCCGGGGAGACACCTCACCTTGCTCATCATCCCACTCAAGAGACAGGGACCTTTACAGACAGCAAAGCCCAACACACTGATCTGGAGAGGGGCCCCCAAGAGACCTATGTGAATTACCTATCGCCTGAAGTACAGGACGTTTTGGAGAAATGCAGGTTCCATGGCCTTCACACTCCTACGCTATTGAGAATTGAGTGCTGGCCAGGTGTTGCTTAGGATACCTGTTTTTGTAGACAAGGCTCCCTGGTAGCCGGCTGGATGGACTCACATCCCAAAAATGCATGTGCCACAACCACAGCAGTTTGGCCTTCTCCTGTCGCAAGCTGGCAATGTTGCTCATCCTAAGAAATTAATTCAATTCAATTCAGTTCAATATAATTCAGCAAAGATTTCCAGAACCCAGATTTATGCCCGGGCTTGTGCTGGGAGCTGAAGTCCCAGAGAGGAATCAGCCCCCTGCCCTTATCGCCATGGCTTAAGGTCCAGAGTCTTCCATTCGTATCCCGTATGACCTTAGTGAAGGCTGGCAGACTCAGTCTTCCACCAGCTTCCATTCTGATAGCTCAGTCTTCCAAGCGAACCTGCAGAAGCACTTCCCTTTGCAAGCAAAAGAAAACAAGATGGATTTAAAAAAGCCAAATAATTTTGACAGCCTTATAAAACCCTCAATGTTCCCATTGAGAGGAAGTGATGATTCCGACAGGCACAAACCTTCACGGTTTAACCAAGCCTTGTACCTGCATCATCTCCCAGAAGTTCCAGTGGGTCTAGAAGGTAGGCATTGTTACCCATTTTCCAGATGAACTCAGTGACGCTCAGAAATACAGAGTGCTCTGCCAGTGAGTGGTGGGGCAGGTGACAGATCTTTCTGGTTACGCAGCTTGTGCACCTCACCACTCCTTTCCAGTCCCTTCCTCCTCCCCAGCTGGGCCTGGGCAATGAGATCAGTGGGATGCGGCTTGTGCCTGGAGGTGCTCACAGTTGGGGGTGGGTATCCTAGGGTGATGACACCCCAAGCTGAGGGGAGCATTCAGGGCAGCTTTTGTTAGTCTCAATTCTGAGGCTATCACACGGTGATTAAGGGTGTGGATTATGGAGCAAGAATCCTCTGTCACTGACCATTGATAGCTGTGTGGCCTTAGGCAAGATATTTTAATCTCCTTGTGCCTCAGTTTCCCAATGTGTATTCTGGGGATAATAATAGGGTGGTTGTGAGGATTAAATGAGTTACTCATTTAATAAGGGGCTTACAGTAGCCCCTGGCACAGTCAACACCATGGAACTGTCTGCTCTCGGCCCATCAGGGCCAGAGGCAGAGAAGCCCCATGAGGAGCACTGGCTGGGGCCAGATCTTCCCCAGCGCCCCTCCCTCCGTCTCCACAAGGCTGCACAGGGTGGACAGCCTTGGGCCCTGGGGCCCATCCCACTTAAACTTGGTTAGACTGACCTCAGCAGTGCTTCCTCCAGCCTGAGCACCTTTCTAGAAGCCTCCTGGAGGTGTTGGGAGATGAGATGGAGTGAGGGTGGGAGGGGGTCCAACCTCGAGATTGGGAAGGGCGGTGTCGGGGAGGCTGGGGTGGCTTTGGCCGTTCGAGGTGGGCAGGGTCCAGGGCACCTCTGGGGCCGCCCAGTGGCCACAGTGCACACTGCCCTGGGCAGTCCTTTCCCACCCCTGTGCCTCCGCCCAGCACTCGGGAATCCAGGGATCCTTCTCGGGAAAGGGGAGGTTTCCATTTCTTTTGGGAGCCAGAAGAAGAGGTCTCCTCGTCAGCTCCCAGACAGAGGCAGAGCTGGGGCTGGAGGCCGTATCTCAGACCTCCTCTGACCCCAGAGCCCTCCCTGTCCTCACACTGACAGGGCCTCGCGTCTCACAGCCTGAGACTGGACTTGAGGCTCACCAGCTCTGGGTGTCTGTTTCAGCGACGTGGCTGTGGAACTGCCCTTCACCCTAATGCACCCCAAGCCCAAAGAGGAGCCCCCACATCGGGAAGGTAAGCAGGATCTGTGGGTCACTGGGGTAGGGGTTCTCCACCACTGCTGTGTCACCCTGTCACCCTACCTCCCTCTGGGTTAGCCTTCAGCCAGTGTCACCTTTTTCTCAGCTCCCCAGATCTTTTGTGGGACCCAAACTCCTGTTTGCTTCTGACCCCACCAGGAGACAATTTGGCCTGGCTCTTGTCCTCCATGGGAGGGGAGGCAGGCCTGGGGGAAGGAGCTCGGTGGCCATGCTCTGAGCCCCTACCTTGCCCCTGGCATGGGCTGGGGCCCGTTTGGAAGTAGGGGAAGGGGCTGCGTGGATAAGATGACCCCCGCACACACCATTCCCATATTTTTTTACAAGTGACACCAGATTGGTCATATTTCATTGAATCTAAGACTGTTTCCATTGCAAGAGACATTATTATATGTACCAATATGGTATATACCGTGATTAAACTATGAAATGCCATTGATGGCAAAACACACCCCAAGTTCAAAATTAAAATGTGAAAAATTAACTCTGAGTTGTCTTAGAGTTAAAGAAAGGCATGCATGCAAGGAATTAATCTAAGTCATGTTGAGACCTGTCAAAAGGACCAGGGGTCAGAGGTTTCTCTGCTTTTCTGGGGCTGCAGTGGGCATTGGTGCCCTCCCTGCACCTCCTCCCTGCCTGTAAGGTGACTTGTGGGTTTCAAGACCAGGGATGAGCTCCCCTTCTCCACTCCCCTTTTCCTTTGCCCCCCTCAGCCTGGTTGTCCCAGGGTAGGGGCCTGTGCCCACCCGCCCGCGCGCAGTCTCCTCACTAACCCCTGGGCGCCCTGCCCGCCCGCCCTGTGTTTAGTTCCAGAGAACGAGGCGCCAGTAGATACCAATCTCATAGAACTTGACACAAAGTAAGCCAAACCCTGCCTGCAGACGTCTGGGGGGGCGGCCGCGGGGGACGGGGCGGAGGGGTCATTTGCATATATGCTTATTAACCCCTGAGGAGCCGCTGGTCTAACCCGGTCTGCTGAGAGCCGCCTCTGCTCGCCTCTTCAGCAACCCGCTTGCCTGCATGTGACTTGAAGGACCCTCCGTGCCTGTTCCTCTTCCTCCTGCCTTGGTGGGGTCTGTCTTCCTCCCTCGTCCTTGCACGTCCGTCCGTCCGTCCGTCCGTCCATCCGTCCACAGCGCCTGCTCGGCTCACACAGGGCTGGTTCACGGCCCTGGGTTCGGCTCTCCTGCCTCACCCACGCCCACTCCGTGGAATCAGGCTGTGGGGTGGGCAGAGGTCTGGGGATCTTGTCACTTCTGACTCCTGAGGACCAACCAGGCGGATTTCCCAGCGATCAAAGGCCATCGCGGCACCGGAGAGTGGCCAGAGGGGGAGGACCTGGGCCAACAGCACGAACCACCTCCAGGGCCAAGCAGCTTTCTCGCTCCAGCTCCAAAGCCACCCTTCCCTTGTCCCCCAGCAAAAATCCGGGGTGTAGGGTTTCAAGTCACCCAACGAGGATGCCCCATGTGCTGGCTGAACCCTGTGGGGCAGGGGATCTGGGTGGGCCCTACCTGGTCCTAGGTGGATGTGCGTTTGGTAGAAGGGAACTCACTGTTCTTAGAAGCAGTCTTAGTCCTGAAATTCCACTCAGGCGTCCCCTTTCCCCATGCACCTGTCGTCTGCCCCCCTGTTTAGGCTTGCCATCCTCCTATCTGGCCCCTCTCCCATCCAGGGTTCCTCGGGGTAAAGTGTGAGCTGACACTGGGGAGAAAGGCTCTTTATGGCCTTTTCTTCCGTTAAGCCAAGCCTACTCCTTCCTGTCCAGCAACAGGAATGCTTCCTAAGGGTAGTTTTTGGGCGGGTGGGTAGAGTTTGTTGGGCCTGTTCTGGGAGGATTCCCTCTCGTGGCCTGGCCTCTCCCAGTGGGAGTAATTCCTTCCTGTGGCTACAGAGCCACGCTGCTCCCTGCAGCTCCTCAGGAATCCAGGTCGCTTTCCTAGCGTTTAAGCATGAGAGTTAAATTCATGTCGCTCTTTGGCATTTTCACAACTGGCCCACGTCCAGATGTGACTGTCCTCACTGCCTCTGTGGGCATCCACATGCGGCAGCCTGGCAGGCCTTTCTGCCCAAGGTCCACCCCAAAAGCCAGGGACCTCAGAGAGGGTGGTTCTCTCCCAGGCCCAGAGCAGACTGAGTCGCCTCTGGCCAGAACACTGGAAATGCCTCCTCTCCCCACCCCTGCAAACACACCACGTTTTCCTTGTCTCTCCCACCAGTGATGACGACATTGTATTTGAGGACTTTGCCCGCCAGAGACTGAAAGGCATGAAGGACGACAAGGAGGAAGAGGAGGACGGTACCGGCTCTCCACAGCTCAACGACAGATAGACAGGGGCTGGCCCTCCCTCCGGGCAGCTCCAGGCCCCTCTCATGCACTAGGATGCTTATTCGTCTTCTTCCCGCCTGGTTTCTCCTCCCTTTGTCCTTTCAGTTTCTACCATAGGCCCCAGTGGTCTTCCAGGTCACGGTGATGGACCTCTGGCCTCATGGTTGGCCCCACATCACCATGCCAACAGGACCACAAAGTGCCACCTTCACCCCCATCTCTGCAGTCACCTCTCCACACCCCTCCTTTTCATGCTGACTCCCAGAAAGGCCACCAGGGCACTGGCCTTGGAATTTGACCTGAGATGGGGAGCAGGCAGAGGAGGATGGGGCATGGAGCTTGGAGGGTGGGGATGAGGGCTCAAGACACATGAGAAGATGTCCATAGTCCCAGGTGGTTAACACAGTCTGGCAGCTAAAAGATGACTGCATTGAAGGCCACCTCCTTCTCTGGCTTGGAGGGGCAGGCTCGTGGATAGACTCTCAATGCCTTTTTGCAGTTCGGACCCACCAAAGACCTCTCCCCTTCCATTCTCATCCCTGCCCCATGTCCCTCTGTGTCTGACAGTGACACTGGTGAAGGTTCCTAGACCCCAGGAATAACAAAAGCAACTGGACTGACTTTCTTACCAGCAGTTACCTAGACTAAGACAAGCTGTGTGAACTAGCCCGAGTGTATTTCAGTATTGTCAGGATGTGACACCTTAGCTACCTTGTATTTTATGTGTGTGGACCTCTCTATATAAGCACAGAGAGACAGAGAGGGAGGGGGTCTGCAGTGAGCACCAGCCCCTGGCAGAGTGAGCAGGGGGCTCTCACAGGTGGGAGCAGGGAGCAAGAAGGGGAGAGTCTACCCTACGTCCCTTCCTTTATGGACTTAACATGATCATGCAGGAAGCAAGGCTGGAGGTTGAGAGGGGGCCAGGCCTTGGTCAAGTTCCTTCTCCTCTCTAGGCCGTGGTTTCTCACCTGGAAAACCAAGGTCATATGTGACCACATGACCACAACGGGCCCTCCCAGCCCTGGCCTAAGAGAATTTGTGAACATGAGAGCTTTTGGTCTGGTGGTGGAGCCAGAGAAACTGCCTCCAGAGAGGGATTCCCTGGACCTCAGAGCAGGCAAGGCCCGCAGAGCACCTGGCCCAGGTGTCAGGCTGGTGCCTTGACGTCAGGCTGTGGCCGTAGCTGGCATGAGCTGCTCTGCCCTAGGGCCTGAGTATTAGGAAGAGGAACAGAACTTGTATTTGCTGAGGCTTGGGCAGGGGCTTGGGATAGGGCCTCAGTGCCTCACAGCCCCCTGGGAGTGTGGACACCCCAAGGTTTACCCAGGCAAATACATCGTCTAGCAGGGCAAGGGGATCTCTCCTTAATTTCTGTTCCCTTCCATCTCTGTTCCACACTTGCCTGAAAAGGGAGACAACAAAATTTTATTGTGCAAGTTGGATCTCAATTCAGTCCAGCACCTCCAGGGGTGTGCTGTGCAACCATTTCCCATGGTGAAATTTCCCGCTTCACAAGCCTGGCAAGTACCTTCTGAATCTCATGAACATTCCACTCAAGGGACCCCCTCCCCAGGTCAGAACCAAGTCACACTCCCCTGACCAGTCCTGGGGTCCCAGCTGCAGGCACCCTGGGCATCCGCATCCTGCCGGAGCTTGCTGGGCAGTTTGCACCTCCTCTGGGCAGCTGTAGAGTTGGTGAAATGCTAGACAGTGCATGGCAAGCACGTGTCCGCCAGTGTCTTCTTCCAGAACCTTTGGGGCTGACACAAGACCCTTTAGCATTTGGGGTGACCACTCTCCTGCAGACTTCTTCCTGCATCCCTAGCACACGCACACAGAAGATCTGTCAGGCTGGTTTCTTGAGCTTCCTCCACCTCGACATCACACTCACCCTTTTGAGTTTAGCCAGTGTTATTAACCAATTTCTCCAACTGCAGGAAAGCATCAGAGCCCTATCTGGTTGTTTGTTTTTTTTTTTGATCAAGTTTGTTTAAGTCAGCCTAACCATCCTTTGCTGACAACTTCTCTGCTCTGTGCTAAGCACTGGAGACACAGGGACGGGTCAGTCCCAACCCCTGCCCTCAGGAAGCTCATGGTCAGGGGAAAGTTATGGGGGAAGTACTAGGGGCCACTGCTGTCGGGGCCCCGTGCCTGCTGCCGGTCCATACAGTGCCTTGATGCGAATAGAAACCAGGGCCCTTTTCAGGTGGGCTCAGACCCACACTAGAGTGGGCAGCTTTGTGAGCGGCACACAGGTTGGATCTGCGCACCCCTTGTCCCTTGGCCAGACGCCCTCCCACACAGCTATGTGCCGCAGCCCTGAGGGACACACAGGCCCAAGTGTTTACTTCCGCCTCTTCCTGGAGAGGAAGGCCTAGATCATCTTTCCAGGCTTCTGGTGAGTTCCAGATACCATCCCCCCACCCCCACCCCAGCCCCCCAAAACATGACTAGTGCTTCCCTGTGGGGCTCCTCTCCAATCTGGAGTCAGCCGTCCAGGTGAGACTTTGGAGTGAAACTAGGGGTGGGGGAGCCTCACTCGGTCCCAGGCAGCAGCCCACAGTGTTGGCTATTTCTGTGCCAAGTGTTTGGGGCCCGTGCCGGCCAAGGAGCCCTGCACTGGGACTATCAGTGCACCATGTGGGTGGCATGGGCAGAGGGGAAGAGCATGCCCTGGGCGAAAACCTGCCACGCAGAGGGCCAGCTGGGCTTCCTTAGCACTCCAGCCAAGAGAGGAGTTCAGTTCCCGTGAACATGAGGACTGAGTTGTTTGGCCGGACCCCACAGGCCACCTCAGCCTCACAGCCCAGCCAGGCTAGCGTGGGCTCACCTGGGGTGTTGGTTCAGCTGGGAGAGATCCTGACAAGCCGGTTCCCACATGGTAGAGTGAAAGGAACACTGTCCTGGAAGTCCCCAATGCTACCTCTCAGTCCCAGCTGTCACCAACCAGCTGCTGGGTGGCCTTGAGCAAGTTACTCAACCTCTTGGGCTCAGTTTCCCTAACTGTAAAATGGGACAGTAATCCCTCCCCTGGCTGACTCAAGGAATTGCTGTGAGGCCCTGATGAGACGAAAGTTAGTGGCCCCTGCTCTGTAAGTTGCAAATGGCTGCACAGGTGTGGCCCTGCAAGTGCAGGGGCACAGCCCAAGGTCACACAGGAAGTTTGCTGTGCTGAGCCCTCCTCCCACCAGTCTTCATCTCTTGCCCCACTTCTCACTTAGGTAGACGTCAGCCAGAATGAGATGCAGCCAATTTGGCTTTGGTGACCCAACTGAGAGGGAGATTCAGACACTATTTAGGAATACCATGCCCAAGAATTGTGGCCCCAGGGACCAGGACACAGAGAGAAGGCATGGATAGTGTCACCGACTGGGGGAGGGGAGCATCTTGGACTCTTCCAGACCTGGTGTCACCCACATCTCCCATCTCTCAGACTCCACAGAGCCCCACAGCCTTGGCTTTGACCCCAAGTTGAAGAGAAATAACCAGCCCCTAGGCCCAGGAGCTGAACCATTGCATCACGGAAATCCAAGAGTGAGGGGAGAGGAAAATTGCCTGCTCCTTCCCCTCAAAGTATAAGGCCCCATCCAGGACCAGCTGGAGCCACCATAGCCACCTGCTATTGGGAAGGCTTCAGGCCCAAGGAAAACCCAGGCCTCTTTCCCTGAGAGTTGAGCCCCAGCTCATCCTTTCCCCAGTGGTTTCAGCAGCCCAGAGAGGCAGCTTCTCTCCTGCCAGTGGCTGGGGACTGGGCACTCTCCACCTATTCAAGAGGAAGGGGCTAGGCCCCAATCTTAAACTTTTATAGGGTCTCATGGACATAGGCCTATGCCTGTTCTGATGTTTTTCTTTTTAAACTCAACAAGGACCAAAACAGACTCCTCCGACTCTCATCCATATGGCCTCACAGCGGGGCAGGAGCCCACCTCTGCCACTTCCCCACAGGGGCAAAGAGTGGCTTCAAAGAGAGGCCCTGATGAAGGGGGAACATCCTCCCCCTGTCACTCTCTCCCAACTTGTCTCTCCAAAAGGGAAGTCAAAGCACAGGTCCCTGGGACCCACGATCTGTAGACACTCTGACACAGTGGTTTTCAAACCAGAGGCCGTGGAGCCCCTGGTGTTCCACAGAGCTTAGTCAGGGGCTGCTAAGGCAGGAAGATGGGGGTGGAGGCACAGGCTAGGTCTCCAGCCCTCCCCCATCCCACTTCTACCAGAACAACTCTGCTTTTATCTGTCTTGCCTATTAAAGTTTCACTTTCAAACTTTCTTTAGAAGAAAAACTTCAAACCACCATCCTGAGGTTTGATGTTAGACCAGCAAGCACAGGTTCTATTTCTGCTTTTCACATTGGAATGGCTCCGGCATTCCAATGCAAAGGGTTTTTGTGTTGGAACTTGGGTCACAAACCCAGGCCCAAGCATCTGCTTACGTGTACACATACACACGCGCATACACACGTATACATTTGATGGTTTTTCTAGCCAACCCACCTTGAAGCTCTGGCCTGGGTTTGATCTGGGCAGGGGTCTGGTGCTCAGTGAGGATGGTCTTGATCTAATATTGGCCCACTCAGCACAGGGAACCGTGGAGCCAGGAAACAGGCCCACCCCCCAACCCAGGACGTGTGCTCCACTTCCCTGGGCCGTGCCCAAGGGACACAGGAGGAGCAGAGTGATGGGGGAAGAAGATGCGTCTTTACACACAGCCGGATGGATGGGAACCCAGGTTCACATAAACGACAGGTTCAGGGAGGACAATGTGGCAAAAGCCCCTCCGTTGAGGGGAGGATTCCCCTGGAGACCTTTTAAGCAACAAGTCTCCCTCAAGTAATATAATGGGACTTTATCCTCACATTTGTGGACAACCAAGTGTGTGGACAACAGGAGGCTCTTGTGACCCCCACCACCTGAACTCTGTCCTCTGCCCGGGCCCCTCGCCGGGAATCAAGAGCAGGTGGGCACTTTGGGTGAGACCCAGACCAGCCCTTGGCACAGAACCCTGCCTGGGTGTCCCCACCTAGGGCATTCTAGGTGAAAATGTGAAGCTCCGGGCATAGCCAGCCACATGACACAGGGGAAAGAATGCTGACTGCTATTATACTTTAGGTCCAAGTGTGCCCTTGGGACCCCATTGGCCTCAGTTTCCCCATGTGTAGAATAGGGCTGTGCCCGGCTCTTCCCACCTCACAGGCACTATTGCAAGGGGAGAGGTGGGTATGAGAGGTGGTCGTGTGAGGTGGTGGCATACGAGAGGTGGATGAGGTGCTGGCCTGCACTGCGGACCAGCAGAGGACTCGGGAACAAGTGTAGGGTGTGCCATCTTCACCTTCCTGGGCATCCCTGCCCAGTGTGACGGTCTAGCCGCACGCTGTGGGGCCTGCCTCTGCCTAGGGCATGGGAGCCCACGTGTGCGTCCTGGGCACGAGGAGTGAGGGATGACTGGGATGGGTCTCCAGGTCCGTGGCCCTTTTGTTAAGTGATTATTTTGTGACACTCTCATTCCTGGACCACCTGCCAGGTTCATCTGTTGTACCTGTGGCATTCCTTATTATGTCAGATAAGTTATTATAGTTTATTCAACTCTAACAGGACAAATGAACAACAAAAAAAGCATACATAGGAGATTATTAAAGGTCTTTTGTGCCAGAGGATGCCGGCTCTGCTTTCATTTCTGTCGCATAAGCCCATGGCAGGACACCGA